TTTCTTGATGGGATGCAACCATGGGACAAGATGGAGATGCAACGTCGAGGAGTGCAATACCTTGCAACTTCCATGGCCACGGTGGAGTCTTTTGTTGAGTACAAAAGGGAAGAGAGCAGCGGCAAAGAGAAGAGTTCAAAGCCCAACAAGGGTGGATAATAGCAGAAGCCTTTCAAGGAGGGTTCTAGCACTCAACAACACCAAGGTGGTTCGAGCAAAGGGGGTAAGTACGAATCAAAGCCCGTATCTTTTTTCCTTTGCGACGGACCACATCGAGTGCGGGATTTCCCAAGGAAGGCGAGATTGGCAGCCATAGAAGCTCAAGATGAGGAGCCAAAGGCGGCGAAGGCCAAGATTGGCTCAATCCGCAAGCTTGGCGCGGTGAAGACTGACGTCAAGGAGAGCAAGCGTGGGAGGTACTACGTCCTGGCGCAATTCATGCAAGGCGAGTCAAAAGCCTTGGTGGATACCGGTGCCACGGACAACTTCCTTCGCATCGAGGAGGCAAACCGGCTGGGTATTGTCTACGAGAAGGGGCAAGGGAGGCTCAAGACGATCAACTCGGAGTCCATCCCGATCCATGGAGTTGCTCACAACGTGCCAATGAAGCTTGGCGAGTGGGAAGGCCTCACCGACTTTTCCTTCGTCACCATGGACGATCACCCAGTCATCCTTGGCATCAACTTCCTCGACAAGAAGAGAGTGCTCTTGAAGCCCAACTCCAACACGATGTGCTTGGAGAAAGAAGGGGAGTTCCATGCGGTCCATCTCTTGAGAGAAGATGGCCCCCATAGTGCTCTATCCGCTATGCAGGTATTGAAGGGGTTCAAGAAGAATGAACCAACCTTTCTTGTGTCCTTGAAGATGGAGGAAGAAGAAGACTCAACGGGAATCACAACTCCCATCATCGAAGGCGTCCTCGAAGAGTTCGATGACAAGATGCCATCGGAGTTGCCCAAGAAGCTGCCACCAAGAAGAGAAGATCGAGTTGGATCTAGGAGCAAAGCCCCCTTCGCGAGCACCATACCGCATGTCGCCACCGGAATTAGAAGAGTTGCGGAGGAAGCTCAAGGACTTGGTGGACGCAGGCTATATGCGTCCATCGAAGTCACCTTTTGGAGCACCAGTGCTGTTCCAAAAGAAGAAGGAAGGGTCGTTGCGCATGTGCATCGACTAGAGAGCTATCAACAAGTTGACGGTGAAGAACAAGTGGCCGATTCCCAACATTGCCGACTTGTTCGATCAGCTTGGATATGCGATGTGGTTCACCAAGCTACATCTTCGCTCGGGATACTATCAAGTGCGGATAGCAAAGAGCGACGAGCCAAAGACGGCTTGTGTGACGAGGTATGGCTCTTACAAGTTTCTTGTGATGCCAGTCGGTCTCACCAATGCACCATCCACGTTTTGCACTTTGATGAATCAAGTGTTCGAGCCATTCTTGTACCGGTTTGTCGTGGTCTACTTGGATGACATCGTCGTGTATAGAAAAACACTCGATGAGCATGCCGAGCATCTACGCCAAGTCTTCCAAGTCCTTCGCGACAACGAGTTGTATGTCAAGATGGAGAAGTGCACATTTGCCGCCACAGAGGTTCCATTCTTGGGGCACATCATTGGCGGAGGCAAGTTGAAGATGGATGGGGCGAAGGTGCAGGAAATCCAAGAATGGGAGCCACCGATGAAGGTTCCAGAGTTGCGGTCATTCCTCAGCCTTGCCAACTACTATCGAAGGATTATCAAGGGCTACTCCAAACATTGTAGCACCCTTGACGGATCTCTTGAAGAAGAACAAGGAGTGGGATTGGTCGGAAAGGTGCCAAGAAGCATTCGAGGACTTGAAGGCAGCGGTGATGAAGGAGCCCGTGTTCGTGCTCCCCAACCCGACGTTGGCCTACGAAGTGCAGACCGATGCATCTGACTTCGCGATTGGAGGTGTGTTGATGCAAGATGTGCATCCCATTTCCTTCGAGAGTCGGGAACTTAGCGAGATGGAGAAGCGATACACCGTCCAAGAGAAGGAGATGACGTCCGTGGTGCATTGCTTGCGCACATGGAGGCACTACTTATTGGGGTCAAAGTTCGTAGTGAAGACGGACAACGTGGCAACGAACTACTTTCTGACGCAGAAGAAGCTCACCCCTAAGCAAGCGAGGTGGCAAGACTTTTTGGCCGAGTTCGACTTCGTCATGGAGTACAATCCAGGCAAGGCGAATTCCGTTGCAGATGCTCTTAGCCGCAAGAGTGCAGCCGCAAGCATCAGCCAGCCCATGTTTCCTTTGAAGGAGCGGATCGTCGAAGGCCTTGGCCAAGATTCCTTCACCAAAACCGTAGTGGAGTACATCGTGCAAGGTAAGACTCGACGGTTTTGGATGAAGGATGGGATCATCATGACCAAGGGAGAGCGGGTGTTCGTGCCAAGATGGGCCAACTTGAGGAAGGAGATCATGAAGGAGTGCCATGATTCCAAATGGGCGGGCCATTCCAGAATCGAGAGAACGCAAGCGCTCATCGAAGAAGCATACTTCTGGCCAAGTATGAGAGACGACGTGGAGATGTATGTGAAGACTTGTCTTGTATGCCAACAAGACAAGATGGAGCAGAGAAGCCCGACAGGCTTGCTAGAGCCATTGCCCACGCCTCAATGACCATGGGAGAGTGTAAGCATGGACTTCATCATCGGCCTCCCCAAAGTCGAGGGATGCGGTTGCATCATGGTTGTGGTGGACAGGTTCTCGAAGCATGGAGTGTTCATTCCTGGGACAAAAGACTTGACGGCAGAGGATGCGGCACGTCTATTCTTCAAGAATGTGGTCAAGTATTGGGGCATTCCTAGAAACATTGTGAGCGACAGAGATGGGCGCTTCACGGGCAGGTTTTGGCGAGAGTTGTTCAAGATCATGGGCTCAGACTTGAACTTCTCGACGCCATTTCATCCTCAAAGCTACGGACAGACGGAGCGGGTGAATGCCTTGGTTGAGGTGTAGTTGCGGCACTACGTGAGTGCAAACCAACGAGATTGGGTGAAGTTGATGGACACTACACAGTTCTCCTACAACTTGCACCGCAGCGAGTCGACCAACACGAGTCCATTTGAGTTGGCGACGGGGAAGCAACCTTTGACACCTACGACGGTGGCAACGGGTTATAGAGGCAACAGTCCAGCAGCCTACAAGTTCGCTAAAGGCTGGCACGAGAAGATGGAGATGGCCAAGTCTTACTTAGCCCGCGCTACTAAGAAGATGAAGACATGAGAGGACAAGAAGAGGCCGCACTTGGAGTTTAAAGAGGGAGACATGGTGATGGTGAAGTTCTACCCTCATCGCATCAAGCATCTCAAAAACATGCACAAGGGACTGCTTCGCCGCTATGAAGGGCCATTCCCCATCGTGAAGAGGATTGGCAAGGTGGCGTTCAAGGTGGAGGTGCCATCGCACTTAGAGATCCATCCGGTCTGAGCCAACTCAAGGCTTTCAACGAAGACAAGGAGGACGAGCAGCGAAGAGAGTCGCAGCGCGCACCAACAGTCATCACCAAGACACACGACCATGAATTCGAAGAAATCATGGCGCGTCGTGTCATTCCTCGTCGTGGCGTACATCCAAGCTTTGTGGAGTACTTGGTCAAGTGGCGCAACCTTCCGGAGAGTGAAGCAACTTGGGAGAAAGAGCTCACGCTTTGGAAGAACAAGGACTTGATTGAGGCATTCCATCAAGAGGACGCGGCGAGGGCGTCGCGAGCATAGGTGGGGGAGGATGTCACATGTGGCAGATGACATGGCGCCAACAAGGTGACAGCATGGCGGCTGCACATGTGGCGTGTATGGAAGACTAGTAGCATAGAGATGCTCCTAGGATTCTCCACCTTAATAGAGAGCTTAATGGTGCACTTATGAGTCACATTATGGGTGACATTTATAGAGTGCATAATGGGGGGACTTAATGGGGTGTATTGATGTAGAGGGACATTATGTGGGGCATTGATGCCTTGTATGAGGAGAGGCCTATATAAGGAGCCATCTCTCTCATTTGTAACTCATTCCATCATTTTTTAGAGTAATACACACTAGAGAGTTCTCCCAATTCCTTTGTCTTTGTTCTTGTTTCTTTGCTTGCAAGTGAGTTGAGAGAAAGGCTGCCTAGCGCTCTAACGGAATTGAGAGCTAGGGCCGCACGATCGAGAGTAAGGTCGTGACAATACCCGCCTACACCCATAGAATTAATTTTTTCGGTATATTTAATATTCTAAACAATTAATCTTATTTATGTTTGTGGAGACATGTCTAATTTTTTCTTTCTAATTGTGTAGAATGAAGTTGATGTTATCGAGTGGAGAGTGGAGAGTGAAGAAACTTAATTGAAAGGAAAAGCTTTCAATTAATCATGTTATTTATGGATAATTTGTGATTTGCTTCAATTTTCTTGAGTTTTCTAGATTGGTGTTGAACAATTTGTATAGTTAATTTGTAATTTGCTTGAATATTCTAGAATGATGTTTTATATATGGATAATTTGTATGGAGAGATTGATATTTGACTTTAATTTTGATAGGAACTTGTTATTGTAAATTTTTTACGACAAAAACCCGTGGGTACCCATGAACCCGCGGATACCCAACGGGTTGGGTTGGGTTTGAGTTTTCAAACCCAGTGGGTTTTACCCCAAATTTTTTCACGGATAAACCCATGAGTTTGGATTTGGGTTTGACAAAACCCGACCCAACCTGACCCGTTGCTGCATTTCTTTCGTTTCAAACTAAAATTAGATATTGTGCAGAGAAATCATATCTAATTTGAGTTACATAGCGATATCAATTTTGATACATGTTTAAACAAAAATCAATGATATGACCAAGAGTTATGATCACGTATTTATGGATCATGTTCTTAGTTGACATAATTACTAAGTATTATCAATATCACTAAGTTCTGTACCATCATACATGACTCATTCATGTACCAACTCATGGAGCAGGTTCATATTTTACATATTACTAAATTATACCAATATCATTCCGTTTCTACTATCAAAATACATAACAGTTTCATGCATGTCCAAAACACTTTCGTTGATTTCTCGTCAATTGACCCAAAAAAAAGTTTACAACATCAATGTGTCATAGAAACCAAGGCTTATGGTTTTAGAGTATCCTGGAAATGACCCAGGGGAGATGTGACGGCCCTAACAGGCTTGCTATACCTGAATCTTTTATTAAGAAAAGCTTTACAATGTTGACATAGCCGCAGGGAGAACTCGTTCCATCTTTACTATCTTCAGCTTTTGACCTCGCAAACCATTCCAGAATGCTGCAGCAGGCATGACCTTTTTGCCAGGCGGCTGGACCTCCAATACCTGTGATTTTTAACCATAGCAAGACTCAGCAACTCCATATGGGTTCTGTAATGCCATCATTTCAGTATTTTTCAAGCAAACTAAACCGTATGACCATCAACATAGTTCAAGATACACCTACATAAACTTGGGGCACGGAAAATTAACCCAATTTAAGCTGGCTTCTAAATTTTCATTTTTCATAGGAAATAAATATTTTACTCTGTTTTTTTTTTCTGAGCGAAACAACGTTATTATAATCCAAGCGGCACCAACATTACAAATGTCGACCAAGAGAGTAAGGAATGAGTTCATGAAGTCTGTACAAACCTCCAGCCCACTGGATCTTGCACATGGAAACACCAAGGCACCATTTGCAAAAGTAATCTCATCTTCTTCAGTTACATGATTTCGGTGGGAAGAAACTCTTGTGGTGATGACCTTAAGGTCTAGTATGTCTTGGTCATTTTTGGTGCCGATAACTATTACTTTCGCTCGAGTACCAGGCCACCCTGCAAATGCACGAACCTAGCAGAATTGCACTTAATCACTGCAAACAGTCAAGCATCAAGGACAAAAAGGGCGGCTTACCTTGTTGTGCAGGACTGAGGCTTCTTCATCAAAGCAAAGCCAAGACTCCTCAGGTGTAATCTGAATCAAAAAGAATGTCCAAGTAACTTGATCAACATCCCATATACCAGTAACTGGTGGATCCCTGGATTTGTCAAGAGAGCAGAAGAAACGTATCACTGTTGCACAAGTGTACCCATTACACGAGTCAGCTAATTGATTTTGTTTGGCGAGTCAAGTTCCAAGGACAAAGTGGGCAGCTACCATCTAACGGGGTCACTATATGAACTCTATACACAAAAACTACGACAACGGGGTTGACAGGATAGCCACATTAGTTGAACCATCCTTCTCATTATCATGATAGGCACCATACTATTTTAACCTTACAGCACAAGTTACTTATAGTGCCAACTGCCAAGGAAGGTTCTCTAATGCCATGCAAGGTTTTCCTACAGACACAAAAGGCTCTTCATCCAGACATTTTTCACCTGGCAAGGAGCATTAAATAGACCCCACAATGACTCCACTTTTCGGGTCGAAGAATGTGAAGTACGGAGTCTAGAACATGGGAAACTTCTTTATATTAATGAAAAAAGGTTCAACCATGGTACAAGATACGACAAACAGATGCTAAGTGTAAGTGATAATTCCTATTCCAATATCCGTTTCAACAAAATGCCATAACCCATGAGTACATTTATAGTAGTAGACCTGATGAGGGGAAGGTCTGTTAGATTCTTGAGTCCACAAGATTGTAAGAACCCTGAGGTTCCAATCTAAATCAACAGGAGAAATGACAACAGGATTCTGCATGCAAGAGAATACCTTAGGAGCTAAGGTGGCCTTTGAATCATCTTGTGGTTCCGCCTTTTCTTTGGCTGCCCCGTCAAACAATGAGGGAAGCTCATGAATCAGAAGCTTTGTGCCTTCAGAAAATAGCAAATCCAGTAGTTCAGGAGCCTGCAGCCACATAAACAATAAAATTGCTAAGGATTTTTTTTTAGAGAAATTAAAATCTATTAGAAACCATAGGTATTCTATGCTTAGGTATTGACTGAAGCACATGCTACTTTGAAAACTAGAAAGCAGACAGGAAATATCACGTAACAAAGAGGGGAATATTAAAGAAAAAAGTTTAACTATCAGAATTTAAGACACCTCTGTCCATGCAATGGGAGTTCAACAGTCAGTAAATTCCAATGCGTTCTTCCCGACCTCTAGGAGTAATTTTTTGCCATTCATCAAGAAGGTAAGCGTGTGATTACATTTAGGTTTGACAATTTGCAAACCTTATCAACATGATACTCTGGATGGATATTTATTTCCTTGAACTCTTATCATGTAAGTTCTAGTGTTTGAGTTCCTAACCTTAAGTGAGAGTCCAACTTTTTCTGCCTTAATGAAGCAGAATATAAATAAATAAAGAATATAAACAAATAACAAAACAAGAGAGGACTGAACCATACCTTAATGTGATCATCCACTTCTAGTGTTTTGCGTGCAATGATAGGTCCAGCATCCAACGCACGAATAGTGAACGCTAAAGATACTCCAGTTTCTTTGACACCATCCTAATGGAAAAACTCATGAATCCACAATTGCGTGAAATGGAACAACCCAATCATTGAATGTAGGAAACCTGTAATGCTCTTTGAACTGGAGCAGCACCACGGTAAAGTGGCAGTAGACTTGGGTGTATGTTGACTGTCCCTGAGAAAATTGCAGTGGGAATTGAGGAAATCTAGAAATAAATTTTGAGTTGTGATGCCATCAACCTTTGCAAGTAGTTAAATGAGTTTCGAGAGGCAACTGGAAAGTAAAATCCAAACAAGACCTTAGTACATGCCACAGTGATGGTGAGTTATTTGTCCGTAGAAAACGAAGATTCAAACCCAGGACAAAAAATAAGCCGTATGGTCGAAACCGAAGACAAAGGGTATCCATCATCTTGTTAGGAGAAAAACAAAGTACATTAAGACTAACCCATTGGTGGAATGTTGAGAAACTTGGTGGGCAGTATATTGCCATAAGCTGCTGTGACACAAAGGTCTGGCTGCAATGCTTTTAGACTATACAAGAATGCTTCCTGCGTTGAGTAGAGGTGAGAGATCAATGCCTGCTTTGCAAATCGGATTTTCATAAGCCGTAAGTGAAAAATGCTAGTGGGGGGGGAAGACTGAAGACAGGAATCACCTCACCAGCCCTTTCAGGAGTGAAAATGAGGTCAGATGGGAAACCTCTGTCAAGGGCATGCTGAGCAACTGGGGAAGGCATCAGCTTCTTGCCCCTTCCTCTTCTTGCAGGCGGTTGAGTCACAATTGCTGCTACCTGTTCACAACGGGAACAAAGTTGATTGCTTTGCTGCGTTAATCCAGCAAAATATGGAGCCTTGGGGAGCGAAGTGAGCTGAGTGTATTTACCTCAAACGTGAAGTCGGGCTTGGAGGATGCATTGAAAAGGGAATCAAGAACAGTTGCCGACACCTAAACTCCGATTCGCCCGAAACGTGGAAACAAAATCGGAAAGTTGTGAGCACATTTACGAGCATGAATGAGTTGCCAAGACAGTCTTTTTCAGCTGCGAGAGAATGCGAAATTTTGGAGTCCTGAGTACCTCAGGGGAGCCCAAGAAGACAAGCGGCTTCTTCTGGGAGGAAACTGCTGATGATGATGTCACTGTTGCATTACAGCAGCAAAAGCGGCGCAGCATGAGTGTTGAATTCATTGCCTTGATTATTGTTTTCACTCCTTCTCCTTCTCTGCCTACTTGGGTTCTCAAATTCTTAGCGTGCCAAGAGTCTCTCTGTCCGCCGACTTGCGAGGGTTATCTGAGCCTAATAAGAATTGGGATAACATATAGTAGGGGTGGCTATACGGTCCGGTCTGGTTAAATTGGCCCAAATTGATCCGGTCCAGTCCGGTTTTTTTGAGAATATAAGGGAGATTGGATTGGATACAGTCCGGTCTTGATCCGGTTCGGTCTTGACCCGGTCCGGTCCCAATTCGGTCTTGATTTTATATTGAGATTGTGGGAATTTGAGTGGCCTAAGGCCTAAAAGGGTGAGGAGTTGGTTAAGTTTTGTACTAAGTGTAAAGGTTTGTGACCGTTTATGCAAATTACCCTTAAGTTTTGGGTGTTGAGCTCTCTTATCCGGTTTTTTACCTCAAATCTAAGCCCAAAGATTGGATTGGATTATTTACTATCCGGTCCCGGTCCGGTCTCGGTCCGGGTTATATGGTCCGGTTTCCGGTTTTTCATCCGGTCCCGGTCCAAATAGCCAGCCCTAACAGATAGCAGGGGTGAAAAACGGTTTCGGTTTTTTGGCCAAACCAGACATCTTGTCAAATTAAAAAAAAAAACTAGAAAAATGGTCGGCGCTCTGCAGCGGGTACTCAAAAATAAATCTACCAATTAGGAGTGAAAAGTAATAATTTTAAATCAAGGTGAATGTCGTTTGTGGTCGAAAAGGAATCATGTATTAACTTGAAGCGGGTGCAAATAGGACCATAACCAATTGTTTAATCTCTTTAGCCTTCATGCACTTGTATATGATTTCGAAGTAGATAGTTGGATTTCCAATTATACTACATGGTTTTGGATGGAGTAATTGAATGTATGATAATTGAGCGTGATATTCCCTAATCTTATGAAGAGGCAAGAAAATAATTTTATGATGAAGAATAAATGAAACTTTACAATGTGTGCTATGAATATTATTATCTTCCACGATAAATATTGTTATCGAATTATAATAATGGTAAAACCCTTGAAATTTCAAAAAGTATTTTAAAATAGTGCTATGTTCAAATTGACTAACTCACAATTTCACATATAGTTTCCTATATGGATTATAGTAGCATGATAAAATAATGACTTATTCTGGAAAAAAAATTAATTTTGACAATAAATCTTCTTTGAAGCACACTATCTAATTATTATGTAATTACATGATCCTTCCTTATCAAACATAATAACATCATACATTTTATCCACTATGTGAATTTTATGTTATACATGCTTTCTTACTAACACCCAAACATACCAAGCTTGACGAAATAATTGAAATGAGTGGGACCTATAAGAATATGGTTAGGTATATGATGGATTTTAACAAATCACACAAATGATAAAAGGATATCATGAGGCCAATAGAGATGAACAGGTGGCATGTTTTCATTTTAAACATAACCATGTGTCAACTATGCAAAAGAGTGATGTGCATGAAATGTATTATTGGAGAGTAATTGAGTTCATCTTGTTTAGATGAAATAAGAGTAAGATCAATCTTGTTTTTTCCCTTAAAAAAATCAGTCTTATTCTATCAAGAACCAGTTGATCCCAATAACTCGAGATATTGGAAGAATGTTATGTTGGATCTTATACAGGCCCGTGTATAGTACTTAACCACTTTCTTACACGCACCCTCAAACGAAAGCTGACTCATGGGCTTGAAGTTTGCAAGTTGTTGGGAGAGGTTCAATCGTGGATCATATACCATTCACTAACACCCCCCCTCAAACAAAAGCCAATAACATCATAACGGCTTTCGTTTGCACAGGTCTGAATACACGATACCATGTGTTTCACAAATGGGGGTCATCGGAATTCGAACACAAGACCTTTCGGTCACATAAGACTCTGATACTATGTTAGCGAACTAACCACTTAACTTGTGTATGGTGCTTAATCACTTCCTTACATATTCAGAAGTTGCTGGGAGTGTGGTGAACTAACCACTTGACCCACTTCTCACGCTTGGAGAACTGAGGAGCTGGCGAGCTTTCTTGAGACATGCACATGTCGTCTTCCTCTCCACAATTCTTCAGTCCCGAATCAGAATCCCCTGTAATTTCAGAGGTGATATGTGGTTGTCACTAAAAATCAAACAATGTCCGAGCAATCCCAGCGAGATCGCCTGATACTGGTCGATTTGCATGCCCCCAATGTCAACAATTGGAGTCGAGGATCCAATGGATCTTGAAAAGAATATTCATGCAAATTGGAGTCCCAACTTGTTCAGCCGCCAAGAGTCTATCGGAGGAAAACAGAGTGGACAATGATCCAGGAGGATTGGCGGCTAGTCCAAAGTTATTTGCAGGGGATTTATGGTGAAATCTCCAATTAGAAGATGGGAGGAGTAGCGGCTGTAGAAAATCCGGCGAGAGGATCCAACTTGGCCAATCTCCAATGAATCGTCGGAGGGAAGAAACAGGATGGCTAGGCATGATGACTCGCCAACTTGGCCAATAGCCAAAAAATCGTCGCGGGGAAGATAGGGGGAAGGAACGGTTTAGGGGGGGATATAAGGGGTCCATAAATCTTAGTGTGAGCTCGCAAATAGGGTAGTAAACCCCTTAAGTGGGAGCGGTTATGGTGATTACTACTTTTGTAGTAATCACCGTGGTTACTAAGGGTAAATTGGGTATGGAAAAATAAATTATATTAATTAATTTTTTTAATAAATTACATTTTAGGTAGTTACAAAAATTAATTAATTACAATTATCCCTCTTTCTCTCACTTCCGTAATCTCCAACCAGATCTCCTTTCCATATTTTTCTCAATCTTTCTGCAAAAGAAAAAACACGAAATCACTACCAATCCATTAGACAACCACTACCACTTTGAAAAACATCAATACCATTGCATAGATAAATCTATACCATTACACGAAAACTACCAATATAAAAAATCTAGGGCTAATACCACTACAACACCCGAACTATCAACAAAATGTCATTTGTGTCCTATTCTTTTCAATATTCCATTTCTATCCTGAACTATTTTTCTGTTAAAGTTGACCGTTAAATACTAACAGAAAATCCAGTCAGCATCTACGTGGCATCTAACATGGAAACTTAATTCTAAATTTAATTTATTTTTCAACTCACTTAAAACAGTAAATAAAAGAAAAAGAAATGCCCTTCTTCCTTCCTGAATCTGATCCCTTCGTTTCACTTCCCCCAAATTCAGCCACCATCGACTCCTCGCCTCCATACGCGCCCATGAGCTTTTCTCACTGATCCCCTCGTTTCACTGTGTCAACAATGCCGCACCGAGATCTCCTTCTCAATCTCTTCGTTTCACTGTCTCAACACCGCGCCGCTTCCACCATCAGATTCTTCATAATCTGTGGCGGGATTAGGTTTTAACGAGTATCCAAATTCTTCATCATCCTCAACCTCGGCACCGCTGCCGTCCTTTGCTGCTGAGGGCTTCCAATTGCTTGGTCAATTCAAGCGATTCGGGAAGGAATTTTTCTGGTTGAATGCATGAATCGATGGTGAAGGGGAAGAGTCCAGGCGAGCTCTCACAACCGTGTGTGTCGTCCATTGATCTGACCCCAGCGTCACCACCACCAAACAACTCGAGTAGTCAAATCAGAAGATCAACTCCCCTGCTTCCTCCGCCGCGGCCTTGGTCGAAGACCAGCTCCCCTGCTTCTGGAAGACTAGCTCCACCTTCTTCCTTTCTCTGTATTCATCGAGTCGGTCGAGAGGGAGAGAGTATAGATCCAGTCGGATTAGCTACCGCCTACGCCCATCCTTCTCCATATTCATCATCAAAATCTTCAAATGGTTCTTTTGAATTCACTGTTCCGATTCATGTGGGTCTTGTTGTTGATGCTTTGATTCACTACTCTGATTGGGTTTCTACTTTCTACTTTTGATTGGAACCATAAATTAGGAGGTGAGATAGTGAGAGGAGTTGGAATAGATGAGAGAGTGAAAAGGGGTTGCTAGATCTAATTTTCCGCGTTAGTCTCTCTGCCCAGATCGACGGCGAGTCGATAAAGCTTAAGCGTTCGAGAGGTGGTGGCCGGAAGGAATTTCTATTACTTTATTTTATTTTCCTATTACTTTATTTTATTTTTTTATAAATTTTAGTATAATTTTGAATAAAAATAATCTGATGTGGCATCTAGGTGGCAGTCATGTTTTTGCCAGCTCATCAAAAGTCAATATTACTTTGACTACCGTTTGGTCAACCGTTATCTCTAACGGTCAACAAAACTAATAGGATACAAATGACACAAAACTATCATACGATGGGACATGAATGGAATATTGAAAAGAATAGGACACAAGTGGCATTTTGTTGATAGTTCGGGTGTTGTAGTGGTATTAGCCCAAAAATCTATACTATTACAAAAGTCAAACAAATACCACTACAACTGTGAAATCAAATCAATATAATTGCACAAATAAATTAATATCATTAAACTAAAACTACCAATACAATCAATACAACTACTATTGTGAAATCAAAACAATACCATTGCAGAAATAAATAATACCATTATGACAAACACACTATATCATTTCATACAACAAAACAATGAACTGATACCAAAACAAAGTATACCATTTCATAAATTAATACCATTACTAAATTAGCAGATGGTAATTTCCAGATCTATTCGTAGACAAATGGATAGAGAGATAGGGAGGGAAGGAGAGAGGAGCAGGAGAGAGAGACAGAGACAGAGAGAGAGAGCATCGGGAGGCCGGGTACCTGATCGGAGGGGTGGCCGGCGGGGGATCGAAAGGGGAAGAGAGAAAGAAAATTAGAAAAAATCCAGAGAGAGAATGGGACAACTTTTCCTCCTTCCTTTTTAATTTTTTATGGACTCTTTATTTTTGGGTTAATACCTTATTTTGGCCTGAAGTATGACCATATAATCAACTTTGGCCTGTGGTTTCAGAAATTAACATCCTGGCCTCAACTATGTAGCATATAGACTCAATTGGCCTGACACCTAATTTCACCGTCAATTTGGATGGTCAACACCATTGACCGTTAGTCAACAAACCATGTCATTGCCTCGTCAGCTTAAAAATCA